GACAAAGTAAAATGCGATGGGCAGGACATGTCTAGTCTCACCGCTGATGCCTTCACACTGATAGCCTGGGTGGTCTCGGTATTCCTGGCATTCGATTGTTTTGCGATTAAACTGAGTGCGGAAGTATCAACATGCTTCTGAACAAATATTAAGAGACATGCAAAAGGTTTGTAAAACCTTAATAATATTAACCTCTTAATAATATTAAAAGGTTTGTAAAATGAGGCATGGAGCAGTGAACTTGGTGCTTATTAAATAATAAAAAGATTTAAAGTAAAATGAACGCTTCCCCATAGTTCTAACGGTAAGAATTCAATAGTAAAGAAAATTAAAAAAAAAGTTGAAAAAATGCTCATAAATAAATTAAAAACGTTGGCGTCAGAGGTCGTATCTAAAGTGAAATTTTTTACTTTATCACAACTTGTCCCGCAACTTACGCGCTTGCGGTATTTTAGCTTTCGCTGTAATTTCGGATCCACAGGATCCTAGAATCTAAAGAGTTGCCAGTATGAAATCCATCCAACCCCCCTTATCCCTCTACACTGATTAATTCTGACCTCTTAAAGGAAAAAAATGCGAACATATAAAAAAAAAACTGCTTTTTATTCTTGTCGAAAAAACACTTTTCGTAGCTGAGATTACTGAAAGCAAAAAAAAGGAGCTTTAAGAAAATTTTAACGGCTGTTTTTGGATGATCACACTAGAAATTTATTTCATAATAGACACAAGAATCGCACGGACATCAGTACGAGGATCCTACGTTAGTGACATTGTTGGGACGCATCTCTCAAACTCTGAGCGTCATTATACCAAAATTTTTGATCCTGAGCCAATTGTTCAGATATGATAATAAATTTAATGGCAGGTCTGTTGCTACGTGTGTGGCGTTTGCCTTCAGGCTTGAATCGTATTCGACAGAGAAAAACCAGTCCCTGTACAATTTGCTGATTTTTTTCTTTTTTTAATCGTAAATTAGCACTGGCATCCCTAATACGAGTAAAACTCTTCCGAATTGCCATCGAGAAATTCCATAAGTACGAATCAACACCTTTAGCGCAACAATCATCGAATAGGAAATAACTAGTAAAGAAATCATTCATGTGTTGACAAACATGTCAATGAGTAATTGCAAAATTCCATTAAATTCTTTAAAAAAATACATGATTATTCCTCCGTAAAAAGCATGCAACACTTTCACTTCCTTTCGGAGACATTTTTTTTATCTTTTGCCTTTTTGTTTTTATCATTTATGAATGGTGATAATGGAAATTTTGCAGCTGAATTCATAGTCAAAATAGAAAAACTTTGGGAGTGGAATTTAATAACTTGATATTTAGTATCTAATTTTTTGCAGAATTAGTATAGGACTATTTTTATTGCAGAACTCCTATTTTTATTATTTTTATTCATATCATTCCAAGCAATGTTAATTGTTCGTTGTTATTGCTGCAGGTGCTGTCGCAAGTAAACGGAGGTGTTCGAATTCGTAGGCAGGCCGGTTACGATGGTTATTCTAGCGTGGAGGAAGCTCACGGTGGTGCAGGTGTCAGCGGTGGCATCACTTCCAGCTTCGGTGGTGGGGGCGGTGGAGCGGCACCTTCGCCGGTACCGGCTGGTGGTTGCTGCGGATGCGGTGTATCACCGCCTGGACCACCTGGACCACCCGGTCCCGATGGACAAGACGGCCACGATGGCGAGCAAGGACCGCCTGGAAGGGATGGACCGGATGCACCACAAGAACCACCAATACAACCTCACATTGTGAGTATTGCTGTGCTATAAAACAACTTTCGAGTTTACACATTCCTTTTGATTAGGATGGGTGTTGTGAAAACTAAGAAGACGTCGGTTGACTGACCTGTGACTTTCAACATCAGAAAATTCTGCACTGGAGAGCGTCTTCTGGAGAGATAAATTCCCTTCAGAAATTTCGTTTAATATTTCGACTACATAAGTCTTTATTCAATGCTTTAGCAACCACACAGCTGAGCATTGCTTTGGTATTGCACCTGCAATTTTTGCTACGGTTTTAATTATCAGTAAAATAAATGTTAAAATTTACAGGACTGGTGCTTTGACTGCCCGGATGCGCCAGCTGGGCCACCAGGAAATCCAGGACCGAAAGGACCGCCCGGAAATATTGGACCTCCGGGCAAGGATGCAGACGGTGGAAACAGGGGTCCGCCAGGACCGCCTGGAAATCCCGGACCGAATGGTGCACCTGGTGCACCAGGGCTGAAAGGGCAGCCGGGTCGGCCTGGAATTGTTGTCGAAAAGCCAGGACCGGATGGGCCACCTGGGCCGGTGGGACCACCTGGCAAGCCTGGACCCGCAGGAGAACCCGGAGTGAATGGAAAACCTGGGCAAGATGGTCCACAGGGGCCGCCTGGCGAAATGGGACAAAACGGAGCACCCGGAAAACCAGGCGCGGATGGACCAGTTGGACCTCAGGGCGAACGTGGTGCTTCTGGCGAGTGCAGCCATTGTCCACCACCACGAACGGCACCTGGATATTAGAGCACTTTTGGTACCGCTAAGTAGTTTTGTTACCATATTGCTTTTTACCGATGATCTTTTTTT